AACAAAAATAGGCTAGGACCAAATGGACTCAGGGAAGAATTCTACTATATCCTCAAAGATGAACACCAATACTTCTCAAATTATGACACAAAATAGAAACAGAGGGAAAAATGCTCAATTCTTTTTATGAGGCCACAACCACCCTGGTACTTAAACTGCAGGAAGATCCAACAGACAATGAAAATTACAGACCAATTTCCCTAATGAACATAGACACAAAAATTCTAAATAAAATATTTGCAAACTGAATCCAACAGTGAATCAAAAAGACTGTCTGCCATGATCAAATAGGCTTCATGCCACAGATGCAGGCCTGAAGCATAAGTGAATAGATATAAAAAGATTGAAAGACAAAAACCACAAGATCATCTCATTAGATGAAGAAAAAGCCTTTGGCAAGATCCAACACCCCTTCATGTTACAAGTCTCAGAGATACTAGGGATACAAGAGGTATACTTCAAAATAAAAGAGGTGGTTCACAAAAAACTCACAGACAGTATCAACATAAACAGAAAGAAACTCAAAGCATTTCTACTATAACCAGAAATAATACCCTGCATGCCCACTTTCCCCGTCTTATTCAATTTAGTACTTGAAGCATTAGTTCTCTTTTGTTTTTCAGAAAATATGGTGTTCTACATAAAGGAACATAATGTTTTCTCTATGAAATTTCTACAGCTAATAAGCACATTCTGCAAAGTAGCAGGATGCACAATTAACACACAATAATCAGTAGTCCTCCTGTATACCGATGACAGACTAAGAAAGAAATCAAGGCAACATTATACCTTCCACAATAGCCTCAATAAGAGGGAAAAATCTTAGAGTAACTCTAACCAAGCATGTGAATAATAAAATCTTATGGACATTGAAGACAATAGAAGAAGATATCAGAAGATGGAAAGATCTCACATGATCATAGATTAGTAGAATTAATATAGTAAAAAATGGTCATCCTTCCAAAAGCTATCTACAGATTCATTAAAATCAGCCTCAAAACTTCAACACAATTCTTCACTGAACTTGAAAGGACAATTTTCAGCTTCATAGGGAAACATAAAAACCCAGGATAGCTAAAACAATCCTGACCTGCTGGAGTTATCACCATCTCTGATCTCAAATTGTATTAAAGAGTTATAGTAATAAAAACAGCATGATATTGGTATTAGAATAAAACCATTGGCCAAAGGAATTGAATTGAAGACCCAAACTCAAGTCACAAGTTTAATGACATGCAATTTTTGACAAAGAAGACAGAAATACATACTGAGGAAAATAGCAGAATCTTCAACAAATGGTTCTGGTCAAACTGGATGGTTATATGTAGAAGAATCCAAACAGATCCATATTTATCACCCTGCACAAAACTCAACTCTACCTAGATCAAAGACCTCAGCATAAGGCCAGATACACCGTATCTGATAGAGTAGTCTTGAACTCATTGGCAAAGGGAAAGACATTCTGAACAGGACACTAAAAGCATGGGCAACAAGACCAGCAATTTATAAATGGGACAACCCACAATGGAAATGCTTCTGTATATCAAAGGACACCATCATTTGTACACAATGGCAGGTTGCAGAATGCAGAAAGGTATTTACCAATTATACATCCAATAGAAGGCTAATCTCTAAAATACACAAAGAGCTAAAAAAATAATTGGACTTCAATGAAACAACCCAATTTAAAAATGGGTTACAGAGCTAAAGAGAGAGTTCTTAAAAGGTAAAACAGATGTCTGAGAAACACCTAAAATGACTAATAATATTAGTCATCAGGGAAAGGCAAATCAAAAATACTTTGAGATTTCATCTTACACCAGTAAGGATGGTCAAGATCAATAAAACAAATGACAGCTCATGCTGGATATGTGGGGTAAGTGTAGCATTCATCCATTGGTGATGGGAGGGCAAATCATTGTGACAGTTACTGAGGAAGCTGAGAACCCATCTGATTCAAGATTCAGCTATACCACTCTTTGGCATTTCATGTAAGGACTCTAAGTCCATCTACAGAGATACTTACTCAGCCATGTTCATTGCTGCTCTATTCAGAATAGCTAGAATATGGAAACAACCTAGATACCTTTCTATAAATGAATGCATAATGAAAATGATGTGTATTTCCATAATGGAATATTACTCAGCTGTTTAAAAAATCATGGCATTCATAGGAATGTGCATTGACCTAAAAAATCATATTTAGTGACATAACCCATAAACAAAGTGACAAATTGTGTGTGTGTATGTGTGTGTGTGTGTGTGTGTGTGTTCTCTTATATGTTAGCTTTTAAGACTTCAGTAGACATGCTGCACTCAATGTAACCACAGAAGTTAGGTATAGAGTAAGGGATTAGGGGTGAGGGCAGGGTCTCCTAAGGAAGAAGAAATAGAATATACTATGGAGAAACAAGTGGGGGAGACCAAAATGAAAAGATTAAATAGAGAGAGGGAGGGAAAGGGGTAAAAGGGAGGAAATACTAAGGACTATTTGAGGGCCAAATGGAAACTTACTGCAGTAGAAACTTCTCAAAATATATACATATATGAAAGAAATCTTAATGGAATAACTAAATAATGGGAATGACAAAGCATCAAAGGCAAGAGAGAGAGCTCAGCAGTTAAGAATACTTGCTGTTCTTCCAGAGGACCTGAGTTAAAGTCTCAGCACTCATACTGGGTGGCTCACTACTACCTGTAACACCAGCTCCAGGTAATCTAATCCCTGCTATTGACTTCACAAACCATAAAATCATAGTCCATGAATGAAGCTGCATGAGAAGTTTTGAGAACTTCTGAGATAATTCCAAAGAAACATGACAGAAGTCTTGTAATATGTTTCTCCCATACAATGAGTTTTTCCTGGAATGTGTGTTCATGCCCCTCCCAGATGTAATAGGAGTTGGTTTACTTAAGATTACCCATCATTTTAACCATCACATTTCAGAATGAGGTTTCCAAGCACCGGTTATCCTTGTGACTGTATCCAGTAGCTCTTAATCTTACTAATGCTACAGCACTTTATGTTGTAGCGACCCAATCATAAAATTATTTCCATTGCTACTTCATAACTGTACTTTTGTTATAGATATGAATTATAATGTAAATATTTGTGTTTTCCAATGGTCTTAGATGAACCCAGTGAAAGGGACATTACACACACACACACACACACACACACACACACACACACTTTGTTTCTATGGTCCTTTCCCTATTATATTCCTTCACACTGTTCCCTCAGTCACATCCTTGTCCTATTAGTATTGATCATAGAAGTGTCTATAATCCTTAGCTCAGGAAACTGTAAGATGTACTTTCCTCCACAAATATACACTTGGAAATTTTTTGTGTGTGCCACTAGCATGAAGATGCCTGTTGTTGCCACTGTAGTTGGCGGTATAAATCTAGGAGAGTGTTACCTAAAATGAGGTAGACTAAAGTCTCATAAAACAGTTATCTTTATTGAGAGCATTAGACAATTTGTGTTCTGAGAGTGCTCCAAGGGCTAGGGAAAGTCATATGAGCAAAATTCACTTGAATTCAAGCTATATATGATCACACGGGTAGGATCACATTCAGTGGTTCTCAACCTGTGGGTCACAATTCTTTATGGCGGGGTCAAACAACCCTTTCACAGGCATCATCCAAGTATGTGAATTTATGGCTATAAATTATCTATGATAGTAAATGTTTGTTTTTTTTCTTTTTTTTCCTTTTCAATTTAAATTTAGATAAGAAACAAGGTTGCTTCACAAGTCAGTTCCAGGTCCCTCTCCCTTTCCCTCCCCTCCTCCCATGCCCTCCCCCCAACCCCCCCATTATTCCCTCATTTCCCCAGGGAGGGTGAGGCCCTCCATGGGGGTGTCTATAGTCTGTCATAGTAAATGTTTGTTTAGTAACATCCAGTCCCGATTTACTCTACAGTAAATATTTGTCTCTGAGTTTTATAGTCTTCTCTTTGCTAATCCATAAATACTTTGTATAAAGAGTATTAATTATGGATAAGAAGTGAAATTAATTTTTTATAAAATCTAAGGCATTTAGCTTTCAACATCAGCTATGTATGCAAAAGTACTCACAAATATTACGAATGATTATTAGAGATGGGCTATAATTGTGGATTATCCAGAGCCTGGTGTTTTATGATACATTCTTGGAAAGCTGCCCACCATATTGGCAGCTCGAGCTTAACCTTAACTTTTCTCTATTTACATAACAGCACTGCTGTGGGACAATCTCTTTGTACACTGTGAAGATGTATTGTTGCTACGGAGCCTTCTGATTGGCTTAATAAAGAGTTGAATGACCAACAGCTAGGCAGGGTGAGGATAAGTGGGATTTCTTGAGAGGAAGAGATGAATCTAGGCAAGAGGAGATTCCTGGAGACCCTGAAGAAGTAGGACGTATGGTACAGACGTGAGGTAACTGAGTCATGTGGCCAAATGTAGATTGAAATAAATGAGTTAATTTAAGTTATAAGAGCGAGTTGGAAAAAAACCTAAGTTAAAGCCAAGTTTTCATAATCAATAATAAGTCTCCATATCATTATTTGTGAGTTGGCGACCCAAAGGAAAGTAAAACTATATGGTACCACTGACAAACATCTTCAAAGACAAGGAAATTAAAAGTCCAAATAGTTCCTTTCATCAGTAAAGCATGCCCCCTCCCCTGCCTTAAAGCAATGCAGAAGGAAATAAAATCAACTGCAAATAAACATGGGCATGAATTGTGTTGGTTTTAGCCTTCTCAAAAGATACCTTTGCTGTATTCAGTGTTCTTTCTAGTAGCAGAAATCCTTCTTGCTCTCCTGGAAGCCTTGGTGCTCTGCTTCAGGCTTCCCCCTGGTAGGGTCTTTACACTGACTGGAAGATATGGTTTGTTCTGGTTCACACTACATTCTCAGCCATCGGAGAAGTTCATGGCTGACTATAAGTGATGTGGGCGAACTAATTGTTGAGTGTGTATTGAGATAAAGTAGAAAGAAGATAATCCCTTACCTTTGGGGAACGGACATTTATGTGGCTGGATGTGGCCTCTGGAGTACCTGCTATCAGATCCCGGATTTTGTCATCGAGCTCCATGCTCTCACACCTGGCAAGCAGGACACAGGAAAGTCACATGTGGAAAAGTGGATTAAAATTATCTGAGGAAACGATGAGTTCACAGAGACAGGAAGGTAGCATTTGGACAGAGTGACTCTTTGCAAACTTTCTTTACCAACAGGTGCAACATAATGCTGTATTTACAGTCACTATTGGCTGCATTTTAGCTATGTTTACTTGAGTTCAGGATACTGACTTGCTCCGTGAAATCACACCCAGTAAGCCGTGTAGGACAGGACCAAAATCTATAGAATGACCTATTAACTCTGTGTATGTATGCAAGTGTGTGTGTGTGTGCGTGAGAGAGAGACAGGAAGAGAGAGAGAGAGAGAGAGAGAGAGAGAGAGAGAGAGAGAGAGAGAGAGAGAGAGAGAGAGAGAGAGAAATTGAGCCCCATGGATTAAGAAGGAGCTCTAAATTGTCTCCAAATAAAATAAGCATAGAGATGGAAGGCCAAACAGTATGTTTGCATGGCAGTGGCTGCTTGGACTGTCTACCTTACCTGGTGCTTTCTTTGTGAGTAGCTCTCAGGAGGAAGCAGTAATATCTAGGCTTATGTTAATACTTGATTTGGCTCATATTTATTAGACCCAAAGTAAGCAACTGACCTTACTGACTCATGTCTAGAATGAACTATCTCTCTTTTGTAAACCACAAAGCTAGTCTTGCTTGTTTTCCATTATTTGTAGCAAGAAATCCATAAGTAATGTAACTTGATTTGATAGTTTTTTAAAAAATGTTCCTAGCAGGCTGTTAAATGTCTGTTCTTTACACCGTCACATACACTCTGCACTGCCCTGATGTAACACAGAGTCTATTGGGTCATACAGAACATTTCATGTCCAAAAATAATGACTGTGTACACTGCTAAATTTGAATCTACCTTCAAGGCTCCCTTAAGAGGATTCCTAAAACCCCTAAGTAACCATGTTACATTTTTTGTCACTAACAAATACCTGAAAGGAACAATGATAAGAGAAGAGATGTGTTTTGGTTCAGTGTCTCAGAAGTTTCTGTCCAAGGCCAGCTGGATTAATTGCTTTTGGGTGGGGTTGCAGGGATGGGCTAACATGTCAGTAAATATGAGCCTTGTGAGGGCTATGCAGAAGAAAAATGATGGCTGTGCCATCAATTGTCCTCCCACTTTCCCTGCCATGCCATCGGGTCCCTAGTCATTTGGATGGGGACTAAGGGCAGATCTTCCCTTGCAGACATGCTCAGAACTGTGCTTTGATAGCCACCCAGGTGTCTCTCAAATCAACCAATCAATACATCAATTAATGATCACAGAAACTGTCCTTCAACCTTCAGATTCATCAGGCTTCTAAGAAGCAGTAGAACTGGAGGACACAGAAGCCCAATCCCTACAGGTTGCTTTCCCACCTGTATTGTGATTGGGACTTGCCTGCCACTGCTTCCTGGTATTACAGCCTTTGGCAGAAAAACACGAATCTTCGCATTTGAGATGACAGGCAGTAAATACAGGCTTGTTTCTTTTCCTTAACATCACAACCCTGACAACTGGGGCAGAAATTGTTAACCTTGGTAGATACCTGTTTTCTTTTTAGGTCACCAATTGATTGTATCCACAGTTATAGCCTTATTATAACACAATTACTATGGTTTCCAGTGGAGTATAAAACAAAACAAAACCCAGAGAAGCTGGGGAGACACTCTGTCTTTAAGCATTTTCCTGGGATCTGAGTTTGACTCCCAGAACTGCAGAACTCATCCCACCAAACACAGTCTCAGCATTAGGAGGGCAAAGCCATGTGGAGTCCCAGGGAATTCTGCCCAGCTATCTGTGTCTACTTGCTGAACCCCAGATTGAAGAGGGAGCATGTCAGGGAAAAAAAGGTGGACAATGCCTGAAAAATGAACCTTGGGTTGTCCTTTTACTTTCATATACGTGTGTGGACAAATTTACCCTCCCCTCTCTACACACCCACACTCACAGCCACTTTAAAGCAAAATTTCATCACATAAGTATAATAGGAATTAGTGGAAACAAGTGAGGACATATGTCAAATCCATTTGACAATGAACTTTAGAGAACCAGCTCCCCTGGCCTTCTGTATGCTTGTGAGCTGTGTCTCCACAGAGGACTACCCTCGAGGGAGGCCCGTGGACCACCAGAGAGGACAAGGAGAGGGATGAGTAATTGCCAGGAATGTTTGGAGTTCTTGCGCTTTCAGAATTAGTTCAAAGGTTTCCAGTAGAAACATCTTTAAAACATTCAAACATTAAGCCACAAAATGACTGTCTTCATTGCCATTATTTACAAAGCTCACCGTGGGCTGTTTAATTATTTAAATTTTATTAGTTGATCAGATATAAGCTATTGTTAACCTACATAATCATGACTTATTGTCTTAAAGAGAAATTTTGTGTCTAATCTAACCCTTTTGTTCTAGCAGCTCCTTTTTAATTGATAATATAGACACCTAATTCTCCAAGTGCTTTGTGACTGAACCACCTTATCTTTTTATTCATGAGTTGAATAAACCCTAGGCAGGTGTTCATTTTGGCCTGTGCCTGAGTCATGCTTTCAGCACACATTGTATGTTAACACCACTGGGTACTTACATCTTTCTAGCTGCTATTGGTGGTGCACAGTGAACACACAACCCAAACAAGAAGACTTGGCTTCATGGTCACATGAATTAGCACTGGCATGTAGGTAAATTCCCAGAGAAAATAATTACACTCAATAGACAAGACAGAAAACCACACTTGTGGGAGTCACCAGCAGACCTATTCATTTCCTATGTGATGGAGAAACATTCTCAGCTGAGCAAAGAACAGACAGCAAAGCCAGGACAAGAATTCAGAGTTAGTGCTTTTCCTCCTTCAGGGTCCACATGTTCTGCCCACACACTGCTAGAGTCACAATTTGAGCTTTTATCTTGTGTTGCAAGCCTTGATTTCAAAGGAAAGATTCTGGAGAACAAATTTCAAGTATGGGACAAGGAAAAATTGGCAGTAGTTTCTTTTTTAATGGTAATGCTTCCAGATGCTCAAATATCAGAGGTAGGTAACCTAGACAGAGAAGTGACCCAAAAGATACTGATCAAGAATTAAAGTTCTACATGTTTGTTTTTACTAGTTCATGCTGTGTAAGAGTTTTATCTGAGACATAACATTGTCTTGGACGGAAGCTCATCAAAACTCAGAAAGGATGAAAGTTAAAAGTTTCAGGAAGTCCCTGAAGCTCACCAGATTCACTGGGGCTCCTCCCTCTCTGAGGTTATACTTGTAACAAGGATTATGAAGGCTCTCTAAGACAGTGGGACTACCTAGAAAGAGGCTCTGACCCACTACATTGTCTGGAAGAGACATTCTCTCACCTATAGAATCGCCTGCAAATTGTGCTATGCACTGCAGTCTTCCAGTACCCATAACCATGCTGCCACCCATGCTGGGTCAAGTAGTTGTATGAGTAATTCTTGCTTTTGCATGTAAAGTCTTGCTTGTCCTCCTGTATGAAACCCTAATAAATTAACTGGCTCACCAAGCTGAACTTTGATGGTACCCTTACTTTTATTTATTTGGGATGAGTAAATTTTCATTCACATCTTCCCAAGATTGTTGTCACAAAACATTATGATTGATACATATGCCCTTGGCTTTTGGGGGAAAATTAATTAGTCAACAAAGGAATTGCATGTGGTGTTTTAAGTTATTAAGTCTTAATGTTTTAGTTACCGCACTAATGAAAACATTGAGTTGTAGCTTGAGAAGTAGGAGAAGAAAAATACATTTTCTCAGAGTCTTTAAAGTTTTTTATTTTGCATTTATTTATTTATGGGGGTCAGTTCTTTCTTTTCACCATGTGGGCCACAGGATGCCACCAGGAAGGCCTGTTGGAAGGTACCTTTACTGGCTGAGTCCTTGGATGACCTTCAGATAATTTGTAAAGTAGTATTATTCTTGGACAAAAAGAACCATTTCCAAAGCTTTATCTAAGTCAATGTGTTTTTAATGATGTAAATAACTCTCTAAAACTGTATTTCATTTCTTTTTTTATTTTTGAATGGGTATAGTGTTTTTCCTCAATATATGTTTTTATTTAAATTAGAAACATGAATGCATTTTCATTTCTGACATTAATGTCCACATGATCAGGGTGTGTATACTGTTATTGCCCTCCTGCATTCTTGGTTGGACCCTGGTTTATTTTCTACGTTTTGAGATCATCCAGGTCTCTCTTCTGATGTTACGTGCACTGGTCAAACTTCTTATGGCTGTGTCTAGAAGAACCACCATCAGAGAGAAGCCAGACTGGAGCAGATGCATTGTGGCTACATTTGTTGTCTGGCCTTTCATCTCCAGCTGGTTCATTAGAGTTGGAAATGCTGCACTAATTTAATTCTGTCTCTAGAGGGTGCTCTGGATCTAGTTCTTTAGGAAATCCTTTTTTTGCCTTTGGTTCCTTGTGACTTTCATCTTGAATTTTAACTTCGGAAATTGAAATGTTGAAGGATGTATGGAAGATAGATGGAGGAGCAGAAGGTGTGGTTTACATGTAAATAAAAATTATGGCTCATTTATTTTGTTTAATACACTCTTAAAGTTTTAGTACAATATATTTTGATTCAAAATTATAGAATACATCATCAATTAGCATTTCTTCTTTGTGCAGAGACTATGCTAATCTTTAAATTGCCACGATTTTAGTAGCTGGACAACCAAAGGAAGCACCTCTATTATTTTTTTTTAATTATGTATCTTTGTCATCACAATCCTTATTGGATATTCTGTACAGCAGAATTACAAAGCAGTTGTCTTCCTACATTCACTATGGAAGGTTAGACAGGTCTTGATAAATGCATAGAATTACCTTACATATAGCAGCAACCAGTGATGACTTGATTGAGAATGTTCTGTAACTTTTCCCACCCCTAACACAGGGGCTTTGCTCTTAATAGCTTGACAAAAGGATAGGGGATATGCTCTCTGAGATTAAAAGAATTGTCACATATGTACACA